TCACCCAATTTGATTGGTTAATTTATGTAGATCACCCAAATAAGGAAATTGAAAAATGGGTCGGTAAAATTGGTCTGTTTTATGTGATATTCTTTGGGATCGTCTAAAGCCAGGAGCTAGGGTTGTTAATATGTTGGGTTGGGTTGGTTTGGGTTGACCCAATCTTCAACCCACTCCACTAAATTAGACTTACTACAATGTTTTGCTCCGGGTTGCTCCATAGTACTTCGGGTTGCTCCAAATTTAAAGGCATAATTTTAAACCCACTCCAACTTGGGTTGGGTTCTACTCTGGAGTGCTCCAGAGTAAGCTCCGTTAACAACCCTACCTAGGCAGGTTATCGGTTTTGGGAGAGCCGACAATATTTTCATATAGTCTGATAGAGTTTTGTTGGTTTGACCTTTGGCAATAAAATTTTAAGTTACCTTTTTTTTTCAAATTGCTAATTGCTGAGTTTGACAAAAGGTAATAAATATCTAGTTATCTTTGTTTCTAAAAAGCAATGCCTTAAAAAAAGTACTTTAAACATGGCCTCATCTTTGAAGATTAAAGAAAAAAGTACTTTAAACTGTATAAATTAATTACCCGGACAATTGATTTACATCAGCCAATCAGACGAAAGTTCTCTATGAGGATCAGCCGCGTTCGATATCACATGTACGCGACTTTTACTATAAAGCCTTCCGTTTTAACGCGCAATTAAACGTCAAAATGGCTCTTTCATATTTAAAATCACCTTTAAATGATATAACGCGTCAAAATTCAAACATCCTGTGCCGAGATGACTCTGAGACTTTAATACAAATCCCTGAGGCACCACCTAAAAAGAGAATAAGGTTGGAGGATTTTCAGCCAGGCCAACCAAGGGTTACTAAGAACAAAGAAAATGATATTAAAACAACAACTACATATCGGAATAAGATAAAGAAGCCATATGCCGGCTTAACATCCCAGCATACCTTATTTCGCAGAGAACTTTGGGGTACAGCATTTGGTGGATCAGCTATGGCATCTACTAGATGGATAGGTATACTTTATTTGTTATATCGTTTTTGCAACAGCATAAGTTTCCATAAAATCTTATCTTCTTTTAAATAGCATCGACGCGATTTTTCATGGAAGATTTTACGAGCTCTGATAAAGATATATTTAAGTTTATTGGGGATCGAGGATTAGTCGCGCCATTCGCGTGTTCTTTCAGTCATGGTTGGTATTTAATTATAATTGTGTATTCATTCTATAGCAACATTATCATTCTGATGCGTCTCTTTACATATTACATCTAGTTGTTCAAGATGGAAAATGTTTAGCGGTAGCCGATGAAGAAGGCATGGTGGGTTTGATAGATGCGAGGTACAATAATACTATAGAGACAGGTAAGGACTATCTTGAAACTGTCTATTTGCGCACATGAAAACCACTACTTTTTGTAATAATTCATCTAAAAAATCGTAAACTGTAGAACGAGTTCGAACGGAATTTCGTGCTCATGATAACGCGGTATTTGATATAATGTGGAGTCCTGATGACCGACACATGGTATATCAGATTTACAATATAATTGAATTGATAGACTTGTATTTATCCTGGTAAACCTTCTCATATAATGTCTCAACGTAAAAGGTGACGGCGTCAGGTGACCAAACCGCCCGCCTGTGGGATGTAGAATTACAACGATGTAAAGCTGCCTTTATTGCACACACTTGTAGCATCAAATCAGTCAACTACAATTCGATGGATCCAAGTAAGCAATTTATTTTGGTGGTTAAACCAGACGTACATTACTTATTAATGTTTAAACAACGGATATAAAGATATGTGGGTAACTGCTTCAAGAGACGGTAATATTTTTATTTGGGATGTTCGAACAACTGCCGTGCAAACAACACCAGGAGAAGGTATGCTTATTATTTAAGTGGGGGTTTTTTTTCCCTAATAAACGAACGAGCAACAACGATACACTATCATTATGTGATCAGATATGTATTATAGGCCTGCTAACAGCATCCGATCAGCCCATTCGCCTGATAATCCGAAAAAGAAGGCAAGGAAGAGTTGCTCCCTTCCACATAGGGTTTGAGTCTTTATATTTTAGTGATGATATGCCAGATGAGTTATCAAAGTACATTATTAATGCTTAATTTTGTTTATACTCGTTCCAGAGTAAACCGACAAGCAGTGTAACTGGGGTGCAATTCTTGAAACATCAAGAGCATTTATTGGCATCTTCTGGTGCAATTGATGGGTAAGTATTAAAGTTTAAGTTAATTCACCAAATTTGTATGTCACAATTTTGATTAATTGTTATTTTATGATAAGTATAATCAAATATTGGGATTTACGAAACCACAGTAATACAAAAGCCTCGCAACCGGTTCGACTCTCAATTAATGGTGCAACTGCTAAGCGTCCTCATGGTAATTTGTCTAATCTAATTTTAATTTTTTTTTTAAGTAGTTTACATTTTTTAAGTTTATTAATTTCTCAATTGGAAAAAGGTATATCCACGTTGATTTTAGACAACAGTGGCACTCGGTTATATGCAAATAGCACCGACAATTAGTGAGTTGTTTTAACGATTTTACAGTACTTTGAATATTAGTATTTAATCGCTTATTAATAATTTAAATTATAACAGTATTTATCAGTATGATCCCATCAATTTGGGCGCACCATTGGCACGATTTACTAGTCCAACATTCCGTTGTTCTTCATTTTACATCCGAATGGCAATTTCACCTGATGATAGATACATCATCAGTGGATCAAGTGATAAATGTATATATATGTGGGAAACCGATTTTCCAGACGAAAATCCTATCGTTTTGAAGGGTCACGAGAATGAAGTAACCAGTTTGAGTTGGTCAAGGGATCTTGAAATGGTAATGTTTAAATTTACTCAATCCAATATTTTGCTTATGGTTGAACCCAGTGTTTATCACTTATCGGTATGTTTTTATCTTAGTTTGCTTCCTGTTCGGATGATGCTTCTTTACGTCTCTGGAGAGTCAACAAATCTAACTAGCATAAAAAAAAGTTTTCTAATTTGCGTTACGAGATTTGCATCATTTTAGATTTCCGTGCACTTTCTCAAATAAATTCGCGTTATTTGCTTTTTATTTTTGTAGCATAAAAAAAAAAGCTTTCTGATTTGTGCTACGCGATTTAGACTCTTGTGCTCTTTTTCGAATAAATAGATATTATCTGCTTTTCATCGCAAAATTAGCGTTTTATCTCAAATATAAATCGGACCAAAATTAGATCGAATAAAAGAAAGGGAGAGATGTACCGGGTGTATGCGTTCTGTCCACGATAGGGTCCGTATTGGGCCGGGTATTCACTGGCCTGACTATTTTGTAAGCCCGGCCCAAACTTGCCCAAATTTATTACGGGTTTTGAAAATTTGAACCCAAACTCGGCCCGATTTTAAAATTTACTATAGTTTACAAGGGAAAACCCGGGCCTAAGCCCGGCCCGTTGCTTTATGGGCTAACCCGGTATTGATTATGGGCCTAAAAATCTGGGCCCATACCGGTAAATTTGCGGGTCGGGTCGACCCTAATCCACGATTTGTAAAGGAAAATTGGTAGCTTTTAAAATAGAGATCACAACTGGTATAAAGTAATATATCTGTATATTGTGTATAGTATACAACGTATATCAAATGTGTAACGTTAAAGAAAACTAGAATTCGGGCTTTTAAACTTACAATATTAGGACCAATTCTAAATACCGTACAGCGTGGACTAAAAGACCCCCCTAGTATAATACCACTCACAACTTTTGAAGACCTAAAACATATATTAAATCGATAATTATAATTGAATGCCCAACGACAGGTTTTCTTTTGGCGACACATATATAGTGCAACCCATATCTCATATGCTAACTATAGCATTTCTCTGACTATAATACCTATATATGTAGATAACTTGTAAAGTACCCTGGGTATAGTCAAACCTGTCTAAATGAATACTGTATAAATGAATATCCTGTATAAATGAATACAAATCTCAGAACCAAGTTGGTTACTAAGGCTAATTGCATAAACTGCTAAACTGAATAATGCATAAAAAATTTTTAATTTTATTAGTAAAAATTTCATAAAAATTATGCTATCTGAATATCTTAAACTTTGTATGCATCATTGTTATACAAAATTTTATAATTCGATTGGTTAAATTATAAAAATATAATAATTTAATTTTTTGTAAATGAATACGTATCCTGTCTAAATGAATACAAATTTGGTCCACCGACCATATTCATTTAGACAGGTTTGACTGTATTTTAGTCCACGCTGTACGGTAATTTTAATAGGCCGAATCTGTGATGTTATAAGAGCCCGAAACGTCTTTAATAATCATAACAATATTTTTTCTTTCTTAAAAAAAAAAAAAACAAATCAGGATTAAAAATTTAGATTACCCATCATGATAATATCTTCAATGATATTGGTTCTGACGAAAAATCTACACCATCGGATAATAGCTTTTTCAAGAAGAAAATTTTTTCGAAAATGATCCTTTTAATGAAAGTTTTATTACTAATAACGCGAAAAAATTTTTCAATAAAAATAATTCTTTAAATAAAAGTTTTAATACCGCTAATACATTTGAGTTTTCTTTTCTCAAAAATTTATATGTAATATATGAAGCGCAACATCATACTCCGCCACTATAGATAGAAAGCATTTCCAAAATGGCAAATGACGAAACTTAAACCCTAAAAAGATGAAAGACGAAACCCCTGATAAAACATTGATACACTGGCGAAACTTGAAACCTTAATGGAACTTCAATAACTTCAATAAAGACATGCGAAACTTCGTGTAATTACTTATCGTTCTAATTGTTGGCTATACAATGCTAAACAAATGCTCAGGTTAAAAATGAGACCTTCAATTTTATTAAAGGAAATTTTTTTTTTTTGCTTCTCGTTCTAAATATGTTTTACATATTATTGGAAATTGTATTAAGTAAGATGAAAGGCTAATTTAAGTTTTCTTAAGATTTACTAGTTTTTACAACCTTCAGTTTTATTGATTTTGCCAATTTTTAGTTTCGTCACATTTTGCCAGTTTCATCATATTTCCATTTCATTTTTTAGCAGAAATCGAAATTAGGGTTTCGACTTCACCGGCACGAAACTTCTAGGTTTTGCCTAATAACTAAACTGCCACATCAAAATATTCAGAACAAACAAGTTAGAATGTTTGAGTTTAGCTGTTCAAAAACTATTCTCGAAAACAAACTTGAAAACACGCGTAATTATATATAGAAAAAATTCACAGATTAATTGAATAAAGCAAATTATTTTGTTAAAGTTAAATATAAGTTTATGTGAACATACGTAGGTACATACAATTCCGTAAAAATCATGATTTTTGTTAGAACCGTACTGTACAATCCAGTATACGTAGCAGCACACAAAATCATGTAAAAATCTTGATTTTTGTTACCCATACGCGATACGTATTTTAACTGAGGTCACAAGATTAACTTATTGTTATACATACAGTATATATATTATGAGTATAGCTACGTATATGTATAGTTTTATATACTTAAATGAGATTTTTGTACGTACGTAGTAACACCGGATAACTGCATGTCAGGGACGGTGAATAATATCGATTCGTATCGATCATATAGAAACCGATATTTATAGGCCGAATCATAGGAAAATCGATATTTTTGCAATTTTTTAATGCAATGTATAATTCGGGCCGGGCAATATAAATTTGGTCAACTTGAACCGTTGGTAGTGATATGAATCGAAAATCGATTAATCGGTTAGTTGGCTGAGTTGGCAACTAATCGATTAACAATTTTGACCCA